TCGGAGTGTTTGTCACACGCTCCCCCCGCCCCCGCGGGACGCCCTGCTTCCCGCGCTGCCCATTGGGGAAACCAGGTGTCTGTCCGTTTCCGTCCGGCCCCTTCGCTCCCCATTGGGCGCCTGACAGGCTACTGCCATCCGACGCACACCTCTGCCGCCTCCTATTGGACTGCTCGGGTGCCAACCTTGTCCATCCTGCCCTGGGCGCCCATTGGTCGCTCGCTATCTTTCTCCCTCTCCGATTGGTCTCTCAACTATCAATCTAATCTCACTCCCGCCCACTCACCGAGAAACGTGCGCCTCGGTGTCTCTACCAGCGTCTATTGGCCGAAGCCACTGTCTATCATTCTATACCCGCCTCATACTTTTAGTTTCCTCTCTGATTGGTCGTCCTCTGGCTTCTTCTATTGGACAATCAATCTGGCTGTCATTACCCTTTGTCACACCCAATCGCAAGCCCACCCCTGTTCCGCCCTGATTGGCCCGCTGTCTCCTATTATTGGCCCAAGTAGTTGTCAATCATCTATTGTTAGCCAGGTAGCTCACGTGAGTGTCTAGTCGGGTGGGGGGAAGGGGGAGTATCTCAACAAAACTTTATTGACACTGCTGGGGGGAAGGGGACGACACAGAGCCCTGAGTTTTTGTAGGCCCTACAATAAACACTGATGAACCGTGTGTCCCTTCCCTTGGGTGTAAATAAAGACTGAGAGTGGGCAGCTGGTCAATAAGGCCCATCTGATCAAGGCCCAGCTAGTTTAACCCCACCCCATTCAGATAGGTACAGGCCTTGTGGTTTTTGTAGGTCCTACTGTAAACGCCTCACAAATATTTTTCGCGCGTCACATAAATTTTAAACAATGGAAACAGGCTCAATAGAAGATAGACGGGGCCTCCCCCAGGCCTCCAGTTTTGGTAGGCCCTACTGTAAACATAAATCTTCACCACCCATTACATCCTAGTGAGGAGATTTCAGAGGTGGGAAGGAGACCCAAACAGGGCGCATGGGAAGGAGGCGCCTCAAAGCCACACGCTGAGAAGGCGACAGAACAGTTACGGGTGGGAAGCAGCTATTAAGGCAGGCAAGGGGATTCCTGGATAACCAGCCC